CCCCCCCCCCCCCCCCCCCCCTACCGCCTCAAATCCGCACTTGATTGTCCTGGGTGTTGCGTTTCGTGCGCCCACACTTACCTGCGTTAACCCCACGGTGGTCGTGCTCTTGCCTTCCCCAAGAGGCGTCGGGTTGATCCCTGTCACCACCACGTAGTTACCATTGGGGGAGCTCTCCAGCCGCCGGCATACGTCAAGGGAAACCTGCGGCGTTATTGGGATGGGGGGACCGGGGCCGGGTAAACGGAGGTTTTTTGGGGGGGAGGGTGAACTCAACATCAGATATATGAGATGTACAGGTCGCATGGTGTTCGATCCCGCGTGGTTGGTGGGTGGTCGCACTCATCACCCTAGCTGTCCCCCCAGCCAGTGCTTTAGAAGTCGTTCCGTTTTCATGCGTCTGGTGTCGTAGTTGTAGTCAACCAGCAAGCACTTCCCAGAGGCCGTGACTATGTGCGGATTCGTTGCGCCGCCAGTACACTGATCGGGCTTGCGTGCCGTGCTGGGTCCCCTACAACGGCGACAACCTGGATGGGCACGCCAGCACCCATGATCCCTCTGATTTATCTAGGCAGGGTTGTCGTGCAGCCGTACCGCTGAAAGCAGCGAAACAGAACGGGCGCGCAGTTGAGAAATGTTTCGTTAATGAAACAGTGTTTCGCTAAAGAAACAGAGGCTCCAATGATAGGGCAGTTTGACGTAGATTAGATATGCAGTTGATGCAGTGTCTACATATATAGCCTAACCCTAACCCTCTATACGCTGGAGTGAGCGCTGCCTTTGCTAAGAGCTAGTAGGAGACATAACTACAACAGTGCGCTCGACAGGTGAGATGTGATAAAGAGAGCTAGGTCACATGTAGATGAGACACTGCATCACCTGCATATCTAATCCATGTCAAACTGCCGCATCACAAAATTTCACGAAAAAATAAGAAAAATGGTTTCAAGAAACACAGCTCAGCGGTGGATATCGGACTAATCTCTATATACCAACCTGATCTGGACCTGTTCTGGCGCTAAAGTTATCCTCCCCCGACACAACCTTTGTCCTGCATTTTACAACCGTGATCGCCCCGTTGCGGAAGCACGCTCCCTCGACTGGCGGTTCTACTTTCTGGCGGGAGAGGGAGAGCTTGCTTTGTTTCCGTGCCTGGCATATGCATCCTACCATGGTTGTGATTTGGCCGGGTCCTTTTCCTTCCTCTTTGGCTTTTGGGCGTGGTATGTACCTCTTCTACGGGAAGCTCGCCCTTGAACACGGGAAGTGCTCTTGTCAGTTGGGCCAATATGGATGTCAGAAGGTATTCTACTGAAATTAGGATGAATGTTTGATGTTTACCAATTTAAATAGTACCATATGGCACTAACACCTTGTACTACATTTGTCTCTTCGTTCGGGAAAGAAGAGGGAAAAGATCATCTCCGGATAATAAATGGCATGCACAAGTATTGGGCTCCACACGGTACAGAGAGCGATGGACTCTGAATAATGGGAAGGGCTCCAGCATCCATTTTCGCGGCGGGGTATTTGTTGCCGTCACATCGAAAACCTGTCACAGGGTTGTCGTTTGTTGCTGTCGTTGTTGATGTGCCTGTTTGGTGTTGCCATTGACTGTTGTGGTTGATTTTGCTGTTGTCGTTGTTATCGTTGTCGTTGTCGTTGTATCTGGCCAGTATCCTCTAATATCCGTGCTGGTCCAACTGACACGGACACCTTCCGTGGTCGCAGGCCAAGATACCCAAAATGACTTGCATGCAAGAGAACGAACATGCCCTCGTTGATGTTGTAGCAAAGGACTTGAAAATAATGCCAGAGTTGATCAGAGGTACACACCGACCGACAGCGGTGTTTTCACTATGCTGCCCATGTGTGATAGATATACTTGTAGCATTGCCAAGTGGTTGTAGGATTGTGTGGTACGTGGAATGTATTTCCAGGGTGTGCAAGGTACCCCTGTTGTATACTGCGTCGCCCCCTCATGGTGGTGCGTGCACGCGTGCGTTCAGTTCATGTGAGTTAATGTGAAGGAGAAGTTTATGCAACAAACCCTACACGTCTTTCCTCCTTGGCGCGAGTTAGCCGAGTTGCTGACACCCTATTCAACACACGTCTTGCGACAAGCTACCCCCAGTTCGGATCATCCTAACACGCTAGCGTGTTAATATCATACGGGATCCCGAGGTGAGGTTAGCTACAAAAGGGTTCGGCTTGAGAAGTAGACTATGGAGGAAGCCCTCGACCTCAGCAGCTATACTGAGGAGGATCGCCAAGCATTAGCGGCGCACATCAAAGAGGAGGTGGAGAAAAAAGTACAACAGAAGATGAAAGAACAAGAAGAAAAGCGTCCCGCTTCAGATAGCGTGGACATGCCCCCCGATGTAGGCGATCCCCGGCATGCTCGGCCGGCTGGAACAGCGTTGAACCCGCAACCTGAAGACCAGCCACGATCGTTGGAGGACCGTCTCGTTGATTCGTTCGCACGGGCAATGCGAAGGACCAACACCCCGGGGGAGGAAACCAGGGAAGTCGTATCCCCTAAGGACACCATCCGTGTCAGCCCTGTAA